AAGCATCAGATGAGATTACTATTAAGCAAATAGAAACCATTGTGAAGGAAGTGGGTCAACCCTCAGAGGACGTTGATGTTAAGCTTAAACCAAAACGAAAAACTTCCCTCAAAAAGGAAACGAAAGAAAAGTCTCCTGAAGAATCATCTGTTATTATTAAACGTCCGATGAAAAAAGTAGAGAAACCAAATGAATTTGAGCAGCACGAAGAAGTTTTCACAGTTAAAAAAACACCAGAGGAATCGATATCATTGAACGAAGAGTTCTCTGAAACTGTTGAGTTCAATATGAAACCAAACCGTAAGCCTCCTATTTATAATGTAGATGAAGGAACTGAGGAATTGTTTCAAATAGAACTAAAACCCAAAAAGAAATTACAGGATATAATAATTTACGAAGAAGAGTCATTAGATTTTAAGGTTAAACGAAAACCTTCATTACAAACTTTCAGCCAAGGTATGAATGTGGATTAAATATTTTATATTAGTATATATGAATTAATTTTTTTAGTATATGCCATTTTCTTGACTTAAATTTAAATGTTTTTCATATTTGATGCAGATGGAGATGAGCTGAAACTAGTTCAAGAAAAAGACATTTTCTTGAAGGGTACGACGATCTCTGCTCAGTTTTTATAGCTTTCGCTATTGTTGTAGCTGTCACATCTGCTTTATATGCTTCACATTGTTCATTGAATCGTTGTTTCTATTTAATTTTAAATATATGAATTGGCTTGTTTCAGATAATTCCACTTTACAAGAAGATAGTCATGATGGTGAAATAATGTTTGCAATCCGCTCATATATTGCTGAAAATGAAGACGCTTTAGACTTAGTCGAAGGAGAAAAAGTTTATGTTATAGGTATGTTATTAATTCTTTTTGCAAATTTACTAAAATTATCATTATTTTTTTTTTAATATTTACATTAGAAAGCAATAATCAAGAATGGTGGTTTGTAAAAAAACATTTAACAGAAGAAAAAGGGTGGGTTCCTTCTATTTATTTGAGAGACGAAACCAGCTACATGCGGTACGTACAAAAGAAATTACATGAAAAAATTGATAAACTACCGATTTTCCAAAGTAAGTAATAATATATATAAAAATAGTAATATTACTGTTTAGTTTTTTTATAGAATTATATGATACCTGTATTTGATCTATCATAAAAACATGTCCTACATTGTTTTAAAGTAGTTTTAAAGTTTAGATTCGTATAAAATCTACCATTTTAAAAATATCAAAAGGAAATCGAAAGAACATAAATAATATTTTCTTACCATTGAAGTTAATTATATTAAGGCCAATTTAGTATCAATTGGCACTTTAAAAAAAATGTACTGAATATTTAATGTATAATATGTTTGTATGTCATAGATAAAAATACCGGTATTATAGGTTCACATAAGGTTTAATTTAATTAAATTTGAGTCACATTTTATTAACCTTGAAACTTATTTTCAAGGACATGTTTCAATCGAAAAACCTTCAGCTCCACGTTTTGTCGAAAAACTCCAGCCCAAACATGTACCAGATGGTGGTACAGTTCAGTTTGAATGCCATGTGGAAGGAAATCCTAGGCCTCAAATCACATGGTTTAGGCAAACAGCAATAATTAAACCATCTCAAGATTTTCAAGTAAGTAAAAATTTAAATTTCAATGCTTACTACATTTCAAATAAGTAAGGTAAAAATTGTTTTCTATCTTATCAAAATTAATTAATTTCAGATATTCTATGATGAAGATAATGTTGCAACGTTAATAATTAGGGAAGTTTTTCCTGAAGACGCTGGCACATTTACGTGTGTTGCTAAAAACGTAGCTGGATTTGCATCTAGTACTACGGAGTTAACCGTCGAAGCACCATTATCAGACCACGGTTCTGATGTAACAGGTCTTTCCAGAAAGAGCATGTCTAGGTATTTATTATTTACAATATAACCCCGTGGCCCGACCCATTATTAGCAAAATATTATGTCCAAATACAAAATTTAAACCATTAAACATGGTTCATTGAGCTTTGGCGTATTATAAAATCATGGTATACATAATGTCTGTCTTATTAAAAAGTGTATATGGAATTTTCAGAGAATCGTCATTAGCTGATATACTAGAAGGCATACCACCGACGTTTTCGCGTAAACCAAAAGCTACGTGTGCATCAGAACACTCAGATGTTACAATTGAATGTCGTCTTGTAGCCGTGCCAGAGCCTGATATATTCTGGCATTATAATGGTAGAGAAATTTTGATCACTGATTCCATTAAAGTGAATACATACTCAGATATGCACTTCTATGTGAGCAGCATTAAAATTAATGATGTTCTAAAGACTCAAGAAGGTGTATACTCTGTAATAGCAAGAAATAGAGAAGGTGAGGCTAAAATGGATTTGGTTCTCAAAGTTAAAACTGGATTACCAGAGAAACCACAAATACTTGAACCTTTATACGACATAACTATAAACGAGGGAGAAACTGCAGTTTTAAGTACTCAAATCAGCGGAGAGCCCCAGCCTATAGTCGAATGGCTAAAAAACAGTAAGAAAATAACAGATGCAAAAACAATTGTGACGAAAGATGGCGTCCATTCATTAACCATCGATAACCCAACTCCACGTGATTCCGCAAAGTACACTGTTATCGCTTCAAACAAACTTGGTGATGCACAAACTACGTGTTTCTTGGCGGTTGAAGGTTAGTGCTATGTGTTTGTATAAACCCAATAACATAATCAAGCCAAGTCAAATAAATATATTTATGATTTGAATTATAACATAATTTACGTTACATTATTATTATTTATTATTATTATCAATATAAAGAATAATAAAAACAATTAAGTCCAAATTAATAAACACTTGAAATAATAGACACATCATATTTCCCTGGAAGTAATAATATTTAAGTAACTAACTATTTCAAATAAAATTCACAGAACTCCCTGGTCCACAAGCGCCGCTGTTTATTGAGCGTTTCCAAGAACAAACCGTCAAAGAAAAGGGAACTATTACGTTGATAGCTAAGGTAACCGGGAATCCAGTTCCAATGGTTTCTTGGTTCCGAAATAATAGACCATTACTTGCTTCACCAAAGAAAAAAGAAGTATTTGATGGTGAAAATATCGTTTTGGAAATCGTAAATGCAGACAGTGAAGAAGACGCCGGCGATTACAAATGTGTAGCATCAAACACATTTGGTACCGCCACACATGGTGCTAGAGTGTCGGTCGATGTTCCACAAGTGTAAGTATATAAATAAAACAAATGAATACGCATTGATGGTTTACTTTTGTTATTAAGTAATATATGTTAATTATTGTATTCATAACATAGGAAATTCACACGACCATTGAAAGATGTGGAAGTCGATGAAAAACAATCAATTTATTTGGAGTGTGAAACATCACATACAGTTTCCACAAAATGGCAATTAAATGGCAAAGATCTCACTGGTATGGACCACAGAGAACTGCACCAAGAAGGACGATTCCATCGTTTAATTATAAAAAAATCAAGCATTCTCGATTCTGGAAAATATACTTGTCTGGTTAAAGACCAGATAACTTCCAGCACAGTAGTAGTTCACGATGTGAAAGCAGAGTTCGTTAAGAAACTTGAGGATGTCGAAGTAAAAGAGAACGATTGTGCTATTTTGGAAGTAGAAGTTTCTTCGGAAACAGTAAATGTTACATGGCACAAGGTAATTAAATATCTTTATCTTGGTATAAAATATAAATAGTACCACGTACAAGCATTATTCATTTTTATGTTATTTGCATGGTCAGAACGGTGAAATGCTTACGGACGGTATGAACAATAAAGTATTCTTCGAAAAGGAAGGTCAAACACGTAAGCTAATTATTCGAAGCATATCTGTTCACGATGATGGTGAATATACGTGTTCATTGGGTGAACAAGAATGTACAGCAGAAATTAATGTTATAGGTATTTATTCCTATTATATCTATTAAACATTATTTTGTATTAACATGTAATAAGTCTGAAAATGTAATTATCCCACTTGATTTTTCGTACAGCCAGTTGTCACACGACGTAAAATTCTTTCCTAATTATATTTATTTTCTAATCATTCAAAATATATATATTTGTTTTCAGTATTATTTATGTATTTATACTTTTAAGCACCATGGTAAATTTACATGAAATTAACGATTGTTTAAAATTGTTCATCATATATAATAAGATCTTAAAATTAAAATAAATTATAAAAATATATTTTACCTAATTTCTCCAAAACCATAATGTTTATTACATAGACGTACTAAGTTAGACGGTTAGTTTCTAGGGGTACGTTTATCTCAATCACCATAATCTTAAACATACTAGAATATATATAGACCTAAAAACTTGATTTCCCTAATGTATCCTTTATATATCCAACCCTAGGATACATATGTAACCCAAATGAATAATGAAGGGTTAATTCCCTTTTTTGCACACCACTTAATAATATATTCGAATTTGTCTGATTTTGTTTTCAATCATCTATACATAACATTTTATTTATAAACTATAAGTCTTACAACTTATCTAATATATTGTTTAATTTGTAATACATTTGTAAATTTAATTTAAAAACACTAGGTTATCCATATAACTAGTTACACAACAAATTGTATTGATACATTTTTAGAATTTTGAAAAAAAGTGTTTATATTTTATAATTTATAGTTTAAATGATTTATTGAACCAGATTTTATAAAAAATTCTTTTTTTTTAATAAACCTAAGTTCCTAGAAAGTATTTTCTTCTGTTTATGAAATTCAAAATATCTAATGGTTATTGCCATTAAAAATAATTGAAAAATAAAAATATACTCACTTCAAATATTTAATATAAAAATTGGATATTTTTGTAAGAACTTTGTGTTATAAATTCTTAAGAATTTAAGATTATAATATAATATCTAGGATTTGAAAACATCAAAAACTTAATGAGTGAAAATGTATGTAGGTAGCTTCTTAAATAGATCAAACAATATGCTTAACAGTTAGTTTATTCAAAAATATTAGTATAGTATACATAAAAATTTAATAAAATTCAAATACTATTTTATATTAACACTCATAATGTATTATACTAACTTAATACTGCATATTATACATACTGAATTTAAATTAAATTTGTAATTTTTTAGAACTTGCACCACAAATAATTAAAAAACTAAAAGATCAAAAAGTTGCTACCGGTGAACAAGTGTTATTTGATATAGAATTAACTAAAGGTGATGCGTTAGTTAAATGGACAAAAGATGGCAAAGAATTACAGTTAAATGACAATGTGAGATTAACCATCGATGGTAAACGACAAAAATTAGAGATAGTCAAAGCTACAAGAACTGATACTGGAGTTTATGGATGTCAAGTTCATGAACAAACTTGTACAGCAAAATTAACCGTCGAAGGTAATAAATTATTACTAATTATTTATGAAAATACAATATTTTCATAGTTTAAAGAGACATTTTAAACAATGAAAACGTATACAACGAACTTGTAAGTTAGTAGCGCACGACTGCAATTTTTCACATTTTTTATAGGACCTGATTACAAATTTAGCATTTGCACATTAGCATTAGACAATTTTAGGAACACGAAAATCCCCAAACTGTAAACGTAAAATGTAGATACCTGTATTCAATTTTCTGATGTTAGATCGTACTTTACCCGTTTATTAATCAGTGTAGTGTAGTATAGTCTCCGAACGACTGGCCACTAAACGAGGTGCATTGGAACTATTAGGTCTTAAAATAATATGTATGAAAATTACTTGAAAACCGAAACCAATAATTGTTGTTTTCTAGAACCAAGAGCAAGTTTCGTGAAAAAATTACCTGATATCACACTTGCTGTTCAAGGAAGTGATATTAAACTAATTGTTGAACTTTCCAAGCTGGGTGTGCCAGTAAAATGGCTAAGGTACTCATGACTGTCAAATTATTATTAATTCATATTTTATTTAACGTTGTAAAACCTTACGATTTAGATCAGGTAAAGTGATAAAAGAATCTGATAAATATGAAATAATTTCTGAAGGAGCCGTCCATACCTTAGTTATTAAAAAACCTACTACTGATGACGAAGCAGAATATATATGTACTGCTGTTAACGTAAAAACGTCAACAAAATTAAAAGTTGAAGGTATACTATTTACATTGTTGAAATCTATTAGTATATTTAAATTAAAATTACCTTTAATTTCCAGTTAAAGAAGAACCACCCAGAATAAATAATCTTCCAAAAGAATATCGTTTGAAAAACGGGGAAGATCTAAACGTGAATGTGACATTTACGTCAACACCGTTGCCAACAGTGGAATGGTTTATCAACGGACGTGTATTAATAAAATCAAATAGAGTATGGACAATTGTGTATCCAATTAAAACAAAAATAATAAATAATATTCTTGGTTTAGGTGTCTTATTCTATTAGTGAATCATCGGCTAGTTTGACTATCACGAAGATAGAAGAAGTAGACACGGGTGTCCTAACATTAAAATTAAAAAATATTTACGGCGAAACTTCTGCAGATATGAACGTTATTGTTATAAGTTAGTATTGAATTTTTTTCTGACAAACTTGATCAATAATGATTTATTATACATATTACAGAGGTACCGGGTGAACCAGGAGTTCCCGATGTTATTGAAATTACAGACACTTCTGTCACACTTCATTGGAAACCTCCACAGTTCGATGGAAATTCACCTATTGAAGGTTACGTTGTTGAATACCACGACAAAGATGAATTTATGGTGTAAGTAAACAGAAATGTTATGTATTTCAATGTCTTCAGTTCTACACGAATTTTTAATAAAATTATTTTACAGGTGGCATAAAGTACAAGTGACAAATACCACTCACGAAGTTACAAATTTAGAGACTGGGCATGAAATAATGTTCAAAGTGGCAGCGATAAATTGTGCAGGAGTAGGACCTACATCACACAACACAAAATATATCAAGATGGCAAGTCCAGGGTCATTTACTCCACCCGTTATTCAGGAACCTTTATCTGACTTATCAATTGGAATGGGTAAATCGGCAGTGCTCCAATGTGTAATTACTGGAAAACCCACTCCGGATATTAAATGGTAATTGTGAATACTCTCTTATTGGCTATTGTGTCATAGATTTTAAAAACCTTACATTTATTTTATATTAGTTATATTCATAGTTAAGTTAATTAAATACTAATTATTAATGTTTTTCAATCGGACAAAAATATTTATATTTAAAGGCTTAAGAACAAAACAGTGTATAAAACAAAGACCACATCCTTTGAAAACCATGTGGCTAAGTTGACGATCGCCGAGTGCAACGAATCTACAACAGGCACTTACACCTGCCAAGCTACCAACGGAGCAGGTACTGCGCAAACATCGTGTAAACTCAGCGTACAAGACGTACCTAAAATTGAAGTCCATGAATCGGAGACTTCGCAAATGATTAGGGTGCGAAATCAGTGGAAGGTCAAGGCTACATACAAGGGTTATCCAAGGCCAACCATTTCGTGGCAGAAGAACAGCCAACCGTTACCAGTGGCTGATAAACACATAAGCGTATACGATGACGACAACGAATGGTCTTCGACAATAGCTATATACTCAGTGGAAAGACCTGACACCGGCGTTTATACAATAACAGCATCGAACGCTGCCGGCACAGCCACTTGCAATCTGAACCTCAAAGTCATTGGTGAGTAAGACGCATTTATAGGCTTTTAGTGTCCATTGATAAACTATAATATTAACGTGTAGTATTGTGTTTAGAGCCGGCTAAGGACGGTAAGCGATAAACAAAATTAAGTCTGGTTGGTAATGTTTTGTTCTCGCCCCTATGTCAATCCCGTATTTTGTTGTTATTTTCTTTCCCTTTCTCACAAGGAATGCGATAGTGAAAAATCCACTTATATGTTTTTTAACATTCTCACCTGATTCAAATAACGAATACTTGATCTCAATAATTTATCTATCGTTTGTTCTAAAACACTGTTTTATTTTCGGGGTGTATAGATAAACCAAGCGCGCCGCAAGGCCCGATGCGCATTAAAGAAATCAACTCGGACTCTGTGACGATCGAGTGGAACAAGCCATCAGATGACGGTGGGTTGGACATATCATCATATCAAGTTGAAAGGTGCAACGTGGGCAAGATGATCTGGTCCAAGGTGGCCGACGTAGACCACGACGTGTCAGCATACAGCGTGCAAAAGTTACACGAAGACGCCGAGTATATGTTTAGGGTTTGCGCTCAAAACGCTGTTGGCGCATCAGAATTTTTGGACAGTGAACCTGTCACCGTCAAATGTCGATACCGTAAGTACACCGAACGTCACACATCTGAGTAAATAAACGATGCCATTTCGGTCATTACACGACTGTGAACATAAAACTGTGATGCCTTATCAGTTCGTATTAACTCAAAATTATAGATGAATTCCTAAATGCAAAATGGGCACAAAAACCGTGTGATCATATATATATATATATATATATATATATATATATATATATATATATAGTAACTATATAGTACTATATATATATGTATAGTAACTATTGGCGACATAATTAATATTTTTATATAAACGCCACAGATAAACCATCGGCACCACAAGGACCTTTGCAGATCACGGGTGTGACGGACACATCGTCGACAATCGCTTGGTTACCACCTCTTGATAATGGTGGAATAGCGATCGAAGACTATTGCGTAGAAATCAAGGAGGTAGACAAAAAAGCTTGGAGAAAGGTATGTTAAACAAATTATAAATATAGTGTAACGTAAAATATGTGTAATCGACCATGTTTTCCGATATTCAGATTGGTTCCACGAAAGACTTACATATAAAGGTATTGGACTTGAAGAAGGGGTCTTCCTACGACATCAGGATAACGGCTAGGAATCATGTGGGATACGGAAAACCGTATCAACCAGACGAACCGATTGTGGCAGGCAAACGCATAAGTGAGAAAAAATTAATTTCTTAAAATATTTGCTGTCTGTATAGTACCGGTTTACGGCAAGGTAGACATGCTAATGCTTTTTTGCTTTTATTAATCTGCTTATATATAGACTTTAGAAATGGAATATCCGATGAAACACTATACGTACTTATGGGAATATTCCCGACCAGACCAAGAGTTTCCGGTAAGTAATTATTTCTCTGCTTTGGCCGCTATTTTTAAGTCCTATCAATGAAAATTTTACTATTTCGTGGTAATGTCTATAATAGAAGATTTTACATTTCGCCTCGACACATTACAATTGTAATGAGGCCTATCGCCTATGTCCTATACCATTTTATGAAATATATGAATACAAATAAACAAAACAAAAGTATGTTTATCAATAATTATCATTTCTTTTCATTCTCAAATATAGGAAAGTCACAAGAAAATATATGTTTTCTAAAAAACGCATATTTACTGGATAGTTGCATTATTGTCTAAAAATGTCGTTATTTATAATATTGAACTAGAACTAATATTATATGAATGTACCTCAGTATTGAAAATCATATATAATTATTCTATAAACCACCATTAATATTTTATTTTATTTAGTTATAGGTAAATTATGTATAGATAACTCATAGTATTTTAAAGTGTAGACTATACAAAATAATTGTTTGTTTATTGAATAAATGTGTTATCTTAGATGAGTTAGCTTAAATCAATCTATGTTCACCGGTATCAACGACTATCGACTATAATAAAAGTACTAATCTGCTAGATTGAAGCTTATTTAACTACTTCTACTTGATTAGTTTGCTTACTGGTAGTGAAAACCATACTGCTGAACCGATATGAACCCATATAAATTGTATTTTATTCAAATTAATATATATATTATTTGCAATTGTGAGGTTTATTAACAACACCGGTTAAAGAAACCTCCCAATGTTCCGTTATGCAAAGCGTCTACTAAGTTCAAAAACATTTTGAAAATTAAACAAATATTAAATTTCAAAACTCGTTTTAGACACCCTGTATGAGTGTATCATACACCATGTATATACACATAACATAATATTATAGTATAATTACACATAATAAATTAGCTAGTTTAACATTATGTTCAATGTGTACTACCTATGTAGTTACATACGATGTATTTTATAAACACTACAATTTGTGCATAAATTTACTAGGTGCATGTTAACATCACAAACTTTGAGTTATAAAAATACCTTTAAGTATCAGAAAATTAATTTTGAAATATATAATGATTTTTAGCTTCACCATCGCCGCCAACAGAATTCACTGCTAGTGACATCACCAGTAAAAGCGTTACGTTGCATTGGGGCCCGCCAGAAAGTAATGGTGGATCTGAAATCACAGGTACGGATTACAAAAATGATCGAAATAAAATTGTAATTAACATAGGTAATGGATGCCTTAATATCTTTGGTCATGCACCTGCATAACCAATAATCATAATGTAATTACATCATTGCTTACCACTTTTATAATATTTACGTTATCATAAACGTGTTGCCTTATAGTCTAGCCAACAGCTAAAGTATCGTTGATAGTGCCATTATATTGTTCTTTACCCTTTACTGTTTTCTGTCTCTATCTCCAGTTTAATAGCTTGAGGCCATTTCTCTAAAACGATAGCTAAAAATAAATGTATATTTCGCAGGTTATGTAATTGAAAAGCAGCTGAACGCCACAAACAAGTGGTTCAAAGTAGCCACGTTAGAACCAACCGTAATGAAATATTGCGTAGAAAACTTGAAAGAAAAATCAGAATATTTCTTCAAGATCTATGCAGAAAATTGCATCGGCCTAAGTCAACCGGTCGAAACGAAATTAGTCAGTCTGTTAACTCATGCCAGTAAGTATACCTAAGATGGTGGTTTGTGTTATTTTGCTCTCAGAAGAAATATATCAAGATGTAACAGGATAGTAATACTATCTGTTCAACGACAGCAATAACAATAGAAGCCATTTTTTGCTTATCTGTCATAATCACTAATATTCATGTTTTATTAAATCATCTTCATCATCATCTCTCCTCGATTTTTAGCCGTTCCCTCGCCGCCAACCGCTCCGCTGGAAGTTAGGAACCTGAGTTCCAACGCAGTGATCGTGGAATGGGGCGTACCGGAAACGGATGGTGGTTCTCCGCTGCTGGGTTACAACATAGCAATCCGGGACGAGAAGAAAACTATGTGGATGGAAGTCGGCCGGGTAGAAGCGGACGTGCAAAAGTTCAACATCAAAGACTTACAGGTATAAATTAATTTTTCGAAGAACTGATTATTATCAAATCATCAATTGTGAAAATATGATCACGACTTGGTCAATTTATTTAAGTAACACAAAACATAAAAAATATATATTATTTTATAACAGTTATATATACATATAATATACAATAAATATAACATGACATATTATATACAAGATGGTCAATTTAAGTCTGTATACACTCATTATTTCTAAAAGCTTAAACTTATATTTTTTTTTATCATTAATTTTGATGTATTTTAAAAAAGTTAACATTTTTTTTTTTTTTAAATGATGATGAACTATAGTTTATCGTTATACTTTATTGGCTAAAATTGAACCTCTAATAAATTTCCTCTTTATTTTTATATGGAGACAATATATCACTTCATACCCTCACTTTACGACTGTAGTTATGTCGATTTAATTGTACGTTGTGATGTCTAATATGTGCCTCGACGATTATATTAAACTGCGTGCATTGTGTTCTTTCTAATTTCAGGAGAACCATAGGTATCAAATTAGGATACTGGCCAAAAACGAAGTGGGTGTTAGCGAACCACTGGAAACTGAAGAACCGTACACCGTACAAAAACCGACAGGTGAGCCACCGCCATTTATGTTATAGTATATTAATATAGCAAGTGATGTACATCGTATACGTTGTGATATTCACTGGTTTATATTGGTAAACTAATTGATTATGGGTATAAATGCCTCAAAAATATTAAATTACTATTTACTGCATGATTTTAACTGTTTCTCTTCGCTCGAACACTATGATATACAGGAGTTGTGAGTTATGACTTAAAGTAGTGTCTGTGATGATAACATTAAACTTAAAAACCAAGAGATTTGAGGGTATTATATAGGTTGAGTAAAACGTAAGGTGCATTATTCCACTTCGCTGACTGACATTCGATCCGACATTTTCTCAGATTATTACGAGTCGGACGTTGAAGAATCGGTAATGGAGTCCAAACCGTCTTTGACGCAAACATCAGAAACCACTACGTCATGGCTAAGAGACAACAACATGGACGCAGACATATCGTCTTATTCAAACGCTGCGTTATTGAAGAGGAGCGAATACTTTTTCCGCATTTGGTATTACGCGAGAACGTTATTCAAATAATAGGCACGCGTCATTATTATTTTTATTATTATTATTATTATTATTGATATTATTACCTATTTTTATTATTACCTATTTTTATTATCACCTATTACCCTTTATTATTACCTATTTTTATTGTCAAACTAACGTCAACATAAGAATGAGGTGGAAATGTTTCGTATTGACGTTCCCTGAGTCAAGATGAAACTTTTTCACTAATACCTGTGTTATTGTTTTTTTTTTAAATGATTGTGATAAAAAAAATTGTTTTTAATTTTAGTTTGATACTTTCCCCCCTTCCCTTCCCAAAACCATGTTTTTAATTATCTAACTCGTTTTAATTTATAAATACAAATGGTGGTAACTTAACATGTTATTTATAAATTAATTCAGGTAGATAATAATATAATACTATGAATTGTTATTTATAAGATATAAATTATGATTATGGTTTATAGCTATATAATAGCTGTAGGTATATAAATTATGATTGTACTCCCTGTTATTTTAGTGTTAAGGAATATAATATGTATATCTAAATAAATATATATATTTTTTTTTAATTACCTATAAATCGGGTCGTTGTTCTGTGTAAATAAATTAAAATGAACATAGTTTAATTTTAATAGTTAACAACACAAATTATACTGCAGCTATTATTCTACATTGTATAAAAGTATAAAACCAATTGGAAAAATCAGGGAACTCGCAATACTGTATGGTAGGTTTCGAATAATATACTTCGTTATTTAATAGGCCACTATACTGGATCTGGTACATTTGAATTCAATGATAAATAATTCAAAACGATTAAAATTTTAAACAGTTTATTATAGTTGTGGTGAATGAACTAAATAAATATGTAGACCCCCCCCCTCTCCTTCAATATTTATAATTCCGGATACGCACCTGATAGTCAAACATCCCAACTCAACATTTCCACAAACAAAATTATAATGTTGTCATTTTTTAATCCTTACAGATTTACTGTATTAAATAATATGTATATTTATATTGAACAAATTATTTTTCACTGTTAATATTAAAAAACAATAAATTTGTATACTCATACATTATAATAACCCCAAGTCCCCTTATAACGGAAGGCCATATTATAGATAATTTGTGCTACCATGTCAAATGGTAAATAATGTCTCTGCAGGCTGTCAGAGTGTGGGCTTTCAGTACCCAGGTCGACGTCTTCGCGGTATCATAATCGCGATATCAATCAAACTACTATTAATCTATGAAAATGGCATTTTAATAATACAATACAAAATATTTAACCATATAAAAATTCAAATTTCAGAATAAATTGCTGTGCTTATTGTTTTATCAATAAAGGAAGATAATTAACCACATTAATATAATTGATCTATTGTCTATAGGAACTGCAGCAGTATAGTCTGCATGTTGACCATCGTAAACAATTCAAATTATTCACAATAAACATAATATTAAGCGTTATTGTAAGAATGATCGTTACATACCTAACAAATATTAATTAAAATGTATAATTTTAAATTAATCTATAATTTGACTCTTAATGGGACTAAATACAATTACAAATAATAATTAAAAAATAATAATAATAATTACAATTACTAATAATTCTGAATACGCTGATAAAAATTAACATTAACATTTTTTTTTCTACTTTTTATTTGACTATTCGAGGCGAAAATGGTTCAAGCAATTTATTTTGTTATAAAATTGTGATATTGACATAATATAATAATACATGATTAACTGGAAAATAATAATTACAAGTCGGTATTCACAATAATATTATTATTCTCAAATATAAACATAATATTTTTATGTTATGAATTTAAACATTTATTTTATGCACTTTTTAATCTACAACGTAAAAACTAATAATAGTTATTAGTTAGGTATAATAACTATACTATGCTCTGCTTACGCACTAGAGTATAAAACCACTTGATCGTGAAATGTACACAAAAAGAAAGTTACAATTATAAACAACATGTGACATTAATAATTGTTATATCAAACAATGCAATCAGACAGCAGTTGGACAGTTATCGATATTATTGTTAACTATCGTCTATAAACTATAATGTATAATGTTAAAGACTCAATATGCATCCCGAAGAGACTTATTTTTCAGCAGTCACTTCGGATCACTGAATAATGTGAGTGGCTGTGGGCGAGTAGGTTAGTAACATTAATTAGCTACCGAATGTAAATTATAGTTATATTTTCTATTACGGTTCAGTTATGCCCTACGGTAAAAAAGGTGGGTATGAGTGTTAAAAAGTGTATAGTTTTATTCAGGTATGAAGACAATTCTACCCTCCATTGTCGTTAAAGTAAGTTAACAAGTAACCTACCAGCGTCCTGCGACTAAATTATATAGGTACTTATTTATGTAATAATTTACAATATCAATTATTTTTGTTAATGATAATAATTAAAATATGAATTAATTAATTTTAATTAATTCATCATAACAATTCAATTTCTTAACTTTTATAACGTTGTGTGCAATTAATGAATAATATCTCACCAGACTATTTTGAGTTATTTTCATACTATATAGATGACAGATTTTTAGATAAACAATAAACTTACTTATGAATTAAAAATGCAATAAAATCAGTTATCACAATATTAACAAATTGTAATTATAAATATATTATTATTACATAAATTATTATAAAAATTTAACTATTAATTAATAACTAGCATAATACAGCGTAAAATATTAAATAAAAAAATTATAACATATGAGATATGACTAATAATATGCTTCACTAAATACACACAAGTACATTTTATTAATAGAATTAAAGAAATATAAAGTTGTTTGAATAATTAAACCTACCTATATGATAAATATATAAATATAAAAATGTGGACAGTTGGTACCGGCTACTACTCTATTGCCGTACATTAGGTGTCAAGTGGGTCACTGCAGTAATGGATGTGTTAAATTTGAATCCAATGATATATAATCATTGTAGATTAGGTACGAAAAACGATTCTGAGTAAAGGTGGTCTGTCAGCCTATATTACTATGTATAATTTATTATATTATTACATTTATTTATTTTTTAAATTTTTGCTTATAGTATTAGCTATTTATAAGAACCATTGTTGTACATTTTCTGTCTTTAGCTTTAAAAATTGATCATTTCATATATTTTTAACTATATAATAATTGGCAAATGTTCGTGGTTTTGATGAATTTTTCGTCAAAGTTAGTATTTGAAATGTTTGAAAAAAAAACCGTGCCCATGTGTATTTAATAATTTATGAAGAACCTTTCATTACATTTACAATATTTTTAAAGGACAATTTTTTTTTATCGACCATAATTTAAAAAAATGTGTACAATTTTAAAATTTATCAATGCTCAAAAAGAGTGAAAATATATTTAAAATGGTATCATAGCCCATAGGTATATGGAAAATGGCAATTAACATTTCGTGGGTGAAAGTATTTTTTTCCCTGTATAACCGACAGCAGAGGAAGCTCTGAACAATGACTTTAAAATAGATATTTAAAGTTATTAGTTTTTGAGTAAAAACTAAAATCAATTTTGTCAACAATTGTTATTCCTGACTCTTTTGAAAACTTCTGGGAATTTTCAATTTTGATTTCCCAAAAGTACCAACTAGATTCACTTTTTTGTCAAAAAAGATACCGATGTCAAAAATATTGAAGCTACCTACATGGTTAGATACTTACATGTATCGCTACGCTCAGAATTTAAAACAAAAACATCGAAATTAATATTTATAGTGGTTTTTGTTAATTTTGTCATACATCTGTATGACTGTATTAGAGCATAACAAAAGAGAAATTCGATAATTGCGGAAATAAACATATATGTATGTTGTAAAAATGTTATTTTATAAAAACGTAATTGATACTTTACGTTCAAAAAAAACCATTATCCATATCGTTATTATTTCAGAATATTTAAAAATTCAATATAATGATAAACTTTATTTTATTTAAGTACAAAAAAAACTAGTAAATCAATAAAACCTAAACATCTAATATAGGTGTTTAATATGCGTTTATTAAGTTTGAAATTCAATAAACAGTTTTACTTTTGGGGCGTGTTACTATCTACTGCACAATGCACATACCAGCTATTGCCCATAGGTACTATATTATAATTTAATTCCAGCTATTGTACATTTGTACCGAACGATGTTTTTTAACCAATCTACTTAATTATATCGTTACCTATGTTAACCATAGGTATTGACTATTGTAACCAATACATTAGACTAGAACTATTATACATATGATATTAGAATACGATAAGTGTACATCATTGAACGGATTTATATCTATAAAAAACACAAAATAAATATATCTAAATACCATACATTTACTAGGTAATACTAAGCTGTAAAAAGGTTTAATTTTATTTAAATATATTGTGCATTTGTACATAAAACACAATACTTATTGTACAGTGTCTCTAAAAATTATATTAATTCAATCAACCATGTACAAAAAATGGTATAGAAACATATTATTTATTAGCTTTTACCATTAGAGCTCAAAAGTTAAATGTACATACAGAAAATATAACACAGGAAATAGTTATAGAATAATATAATATGTATTAATATGCAATATGATAACACCAGTGGTTGCCTGTCGGATAATAGTTATAATAATATTGGAACTATTAGTTATTAATGAATTGTATTATATTAATAATATTTTAATTTATTTTGAATTCTTTACTGTGTAATAATATATATTTTAATATAATATCATTTATTCTAGAACATATAGTGTGGGCACTTAATAATTAACGCCCGAAAGTGGTTTAGGAATATATTCCTATAGTACCACCAAATAAAATAAATCATGAAGACCAAATATATAATTAAAAACAACAAATTCTAATTTTCCAGAAATATGAAAATTAAACAACAGTATTTAATAATATTAGGTAGGCAATAGGTTTTAAATGGTCTTGTTTAATAAATAATATTATATTAAGTGTAGTGTAAAGTATCATCTTTTTTTATTTGGACGGCTAGATCTGCCCTTGAATAATATACAATCTTACAGCGTCACATTATAATAATACAATGTAGTTCAAATTACCTTTAGTCAGTTTTACAACTTTACAATCTAAACATATTTTTTATTTGCTATGATTGACTGACCATTTTTTTGCAATCGTCCCATCACCAATGTGCGCTTAATATCTGAGCTCATACTATACAATGTGACTCGTAGTATTTAAGCATATTAAACAGAAACAAAGTTGCCATTAAAACAAATTAGAAATAGCTACAACGGATGGTTGGTACGAGTGCCGTTATGATACATACGAATCGGTGGACTATAATATCACATTTCTTAAAAATTTTAGTTTAATGCCAAAAGGATCTGGGATTTTGGGTAAAAGCCAGTTGAATGCTGGTCAGGTGATTGGATAAATAACAGCGGGACAATACATGTACAGCAAATACAAATATTGGAAAAATGAAGTAATTTTCACATTTAATACAATTTTTTTTATTGAATGTGACAATAATATACCCTAGTTAACTTTTCTTTAGCAAACACTCCATGAAGGTCCAGTGCTTAATCATAGTCGATTAACTACGGAGATGTTCTATTTATAAACACTCACAAATCGTTTGAGCATACTCAATACATTATACCTATGCATACATGGCATAATACATCTCAACAATCCCAAACAGTTATCTCTATATTATAGAAAATATCAATAACATAAATATTATCTATCATAGCTTATAGGTACATGTTCTCGTGTCATTCATATTCAGATATTCTACTCACGAGGCGTAAGTATGTTTGGACTAATTTCGTAGATCTGACCAATAGGCAATATAGTAATTTTTTGAGATATCCATCGTATGAGATCGGTTTAAGCACTATATAAACAATAACAAAAATTATTTTTGAATCAATTTAAGTTTTCCAGTGCATAAATAGTTATATATAATACCTATATATATTACCAGTGTGCCCACACTCATGATATTTTTATGATGTAAAGGCTTTATCATAATTATTTTGTTTTCTTAAAACTTCTATCCGTAGATGGCAATAGCAGATGCCAGTAGAATATCTTGAATGTGGAACTAAAATAAATTACTTATAATATTAAAGAAGATTTGATGACTTGGAATTCGATTGAAAAGGAAAGAATGGTATTATTGTGCCTGATCTGGCTAAGAGTTAAATGATAATAATATGATATTCGAATGCTGAATATGTCTTTTCGAATGCTCGACAGACAGTTGACAATGTTGACATCGACCGTGGCTATGATGTATGTGCAGTGCATTGATCCTGTATATCATTAAATCATATATTAGTAAACGCACCATATATAGATGTTGGACTTTTCTCAATAGAGAAAACTTCGGTAGATTCTTCTAGCGAGTGTTTGTTAATCATCATTATTCTATGTTCCACTTTATATCACATTTTGTATACCGTAAGTCCGTAACGTCCGCATCTATTCAAATATTAATATTAAATTACTATAGTTATTATTATTTAAGTATTATAAACTTCGTGTTTAAAAATAATTTATGACAATATGATATTTATAGTTTATAAATTATTCGTAAAAAACCTTCAGAAAGGAAGTGAACATTAATTTTAGAATTCCATTTTTCAAATATCAACCCTTGACAGTCTTGACACATTTTTGGCTTTTCCTCAAGGAATTGTTTACCACCTAGATCTAGTCGAAAATTGTTTCTTGTAAACATGAATATTGTGCATGTACTGGAGATGGTCAAACGAGAGGAGGGGAGAATATACCCCTCCATCATAATCTTTTTTTTAATATTTATGTATAATAAAGTTTCATAGTATTATATTTTTACACAGAAAATAATTTAATAATTAATCTTTTAAACAATTTTTGATAACAAAATTATTTTTGCATGATTATACAAACAATTATATGCGAATTATATAACAATAAGGCACGAACCTAAATCTAAAATAGGCGAGACTAACATTTTTTTTTTTTTTTAAAAACAATTACAATTTTAGGAAATAATATAATAAATTATAGATAAGATTTGATTACAAAAATAATAATTTCGTTTATTTTTAATTTATTGATCTTAGGATGCACTATTTACTATAGAATGATTCATATATTATAATATTAAATAAATAGTAATAAATAGCATTTCCAATTAGAGGGGCTCAATCCCCTTAGCTCTCCTGGATCCGTGTCTTAATGTGCACCCAAATACAGACATCCAGACTACAGATACAGTGTTCGTAGGTGGTAGGTGCCTAATCCGAAAAATACTATACTCAAAGATATTGGTTCAGACTGTGCCACTGTGGTTACAATTTTCAGATCCCGTAGCACCGGCTCTCGCGTTTACATAATAATAATATGTATATCTAAGCAAACACAATAATATTATTAACGGAATGCGCAATAGTGGCGGTGCGATGCCGAAAACAAAAAAATAACGTTTCGACTAAACAGCGTGTTTCGCAATCAGATCACGTATGTGAGGCGGCAGAGATCTGTGGTGGGGCGCCGGCGGAGTCGCGGAGTAACAACACGGCTCGACGCGAGCTTGAACTTGACCTCGCCGTTGTCGTCGTCCGTCAGCCGGTCGCGGCGCTCGGCGTCGACGGCGGACGACCGAACCGACCACCAGGCAGCGCTTGAGCGCAAGCTCGACGTCGCCGAGTTACGACCGCCGCCGGGTGAAAGCTTGCCGCAGACGTACCGCGCGTGCCCTGCCGACCGAACGTCTGATCGTGTCTCCGTCGCGACAGCTCCGCTTACCTGTTTATGTGTGTATGCGTGTGTGTGTGTGTGTGTGTATATATATATATATAAGCCCCTCCGTCTCACACTCGCTGGCCACAGGTTGTACCGCTGAAGATCTCCGACCGCGGGCACCAACTCCGGGAAATAACGTGCGGTAATCGTCGCCCGCGATCATGTCGGTGCCGTCACCGTCGCCTGCGGCGTCAGCATCGCGATAGACGGTGGACGCGTGAGCGTGACGAGACCTACGGACAGAGTTATTTGACGACACATTGACAGTGGTGCACACGTGATGGTGATGGTGATGACGACTACGACAACGACGATGACGATGATGATATCGTCGGAAAATGATTGAATCGGCAGCCGCTCTGTTACACGAGGTGAGCGCAATACCACCCTGGTAACGTCATACTATTAATACTGTGGTTTATATGTTTACTGTTGCGACTTGTAACGACGTGCATTATGACGATGATGGTGCCGTGGTGGTACAACGGTAATTGAGGTACTACGATGAGCGTGTACCGGGCCGGTACGACCCGGGCGGTCGCGTTTGTTGTCTTTAGCCGGGACGCTCGAGCAATCGATCGCGTGCAGCCCTATTATACCGCCCCCGCGGATACGGCGGCAGCCGCCCTCGTGTCGGCCACGTGACGGTTACGCGGTGGTGCTACGCGTAAGTTACGCGTACGACGGTACACTCGCCGTAGGTGCACATAATACGCGCCGCCGTCGCCATGGTAACCGCGCGTAGCCGGCCGGCAGCGGTGCCGATCTCGCAGATTTCTGATGTTTTGGGGGTTGGCGCGCGGTTACTCGAACGTCGGTGCGTCGTGGGGCGTTTCGAGGGGTTATGTTTCGAATGCAAACGGGGTCGTTTTTGGTCGGCGTAACGCACGGACAGCAAAACACTGTTTATTTTTGTAAGTCAAGTAATATATTTGTCGTCGTTGTCTATTATATCGCTCCCTGGTCCTTTAGATATCACGTGATCATATTCTGTGTGTAACTGCATTGTTACTCGCTTTCTAGTGCCCTCGCCCCGAATGATGCCACCGGTGTGAATGAAAAATATTTAAGTAAAAATTAATTGCTGCCCGTGTACCCGTCATCACTCATCGATCGGCACAAATTCGATGATAACAAGACGTAACAGCCTCCATAATACTACTTTATTGTAATTCAGAATATTGTGCTACTCGCGTGCGCCGATCATACGTTTTATGTAACAACAATGACGACTTGGGTTTCTCAACACGTGTTATATTATATTGTATAAAAATATAATACGTGTGTCGTAGACGTATATAGTGTAATATACGGTTTCTCGGAGGCAATGCCAAAAACCGGTGTCCGTGCAGGTAACGATCGCGACACAAACGGATACGATTATTAAAGGTATTTAGCCCGCGATAGCGTGTTTGGATAGAATTATTCGTCAATTATATTATTTTATTCCTGTTTCGCCGAAGCGAGACGCCGCGCGCCGCCGTTTATTATCATCGCGGGGAGTCTTCGACAGCAGCTGGACATTTTACGCGATTAATAATTCAGATTGGACCAAAATTAGCATTGAACCACAAAAATCCACTAGGTTCCTACTAATAATTTCGAAACCGTCTGGTGGCGATGTAACGGGTCGTTGTAACGGGCATGGGACGTGCTGGCGTGCCGCGTACATTTGATTTTGCAACATTATAATATATTATGCTCTAATCCGGTCGTCACATCTATAATAATAATAATAATAGCCGTCGAGGGACACATAATAATATATTCGTAGTTATTGTTCTCCTCGTTAATGTACGATTTAATTTCGCCGGGAAACGATTTAAACGAACGTGAGTAGAATACGGTTTGCTGCGTTGATCTTTGCAATTTTCTAATCGAGAAAAATAATTGAACCAATTCCGTGTAGTTAAACGGTTGTTAATGTAGCACCGTTATTATTTCCGTCACTGCCAAACGTCCAAACATTTATTTTTCAAGCATTTTTTTCTGCAAGTCGAATAATGAATAATTGTTTGCTTCGAAAACGTTCCGACGGTGACATTATTTTTATGGATGTTTTCCTCTCAAATCTGTGAGGCATAATATTTTATAGTATGAACAATAATTTATCATCATTGTTTACGCCGGTTGTCTTGTAATTTATTCCGAGAAATGTAGGCGGACAAAAGGTCACTACTGTTCACTATAGCCTCGCTACCGCCCACGCTACAAAACGAAAATATAAAATAACTTTATAAGTCATTAGACAATGTAGGTAGGTAGAGAATTACCTATTAGGGAGCATTTGTGAACTGAAAAACCCCCCCCCCCCCCCAAAGAAAAAAAAAATTCCCGACCAGAGGGATAAAAAATCTCCGGAGTACAATGTATCCCACACGATTCCAATGAATGATTGAATACATATTTTTAAAACGTTGAATAAAATACATTATTATTTTTATTTACAATTACATTAATTTATGATGATCAATTTATAAATACCTATATATCAAATTCAATTTTGTATTAATTCAATGAATTTAAGAAATAAAAAATTAAGTATTAAAGAATGATAACCTACTTTAATTGAAAAAGAAGGTATAAAATATAGGTACAAATATTTAATGTTAACAATAATTTAATTTACTTTCACCTAATTACCTATATATTTTATCATGTCTATTCATCAACAATAATAATAATATTAATAATGTTTTGTATTGTATTACGATATATATAGTTGATGATATTATGATGTATTTACATGAAAAATAAAAATACAGTTTTGGATATAAATATATAAAATAAAAAAAAAGAGCAAAAAATATAATGCAAAATATAAATCGTTGGCCTTAGGTAATATTACTAAGTATGCTATCTAAGGTTGCCGTTATAAATATTGAAATTATTTATCAATTTAATGTCTTAATTTATCCAAATATTTGTTTTCCTTTGGATTTTTATTCTGGTAACCATTAGGGGTCGAAGGCCCTCCAAATCTTTTGTTTATCTACATTCTGAAGGCCTTCAATTGAGTGTTTAGTTCTTACGTCTACGTCTTGAGAATGATATGAACTGAGCGCGCTTTAAAAATGTGTTGGCAATTAAATTAGTTTATTATTATTCCAGCGCCTGGATTAAGGTTTCAGTGGTAAAGGGGAAGAAGGAACATGATAATATTTTTAGATCATAATATAATATATAATAACTCCTACAACTGTAAAAGATAATTAAGGCTACACGCTCCGCACTTATCCGCTTACTTCGGGGAAAGCAGAAAGTACAAAGACATAATTAGGTATTGTGACTTATGACGAGTTCAATGTTGAATTGTTTAATTAGTTCAATTCATAATAATTGTATTAACGGAACAAACTAACCAGGTAGTTGGGTCCGTAGTTGAAAAACGGAAGTGAGATTTTATTTCCATATGACTTAATATTTTTTTGAATTTTATGATTGCATTATTCATAAGCGGTTTTAATTTTTTTGATAACTTTTTAAAATGTTGACCTAATTTAAAGTACATTGAGATAATTACTCCAATTAAAACTATTTTAACCATTGAACTCTGCTGTGGGAACTGTTAAAATTATTTATTGAATCGATGTGAAACCATTTTCCACGGCCTACACAAGTCAAAAGTTAATTGCATTACTTAATTATGACAATTATTACTTTATATAAATTGTCAAAAAATAAAATAAATATACAATAAATTTTAATATATATTAAAAAATATATTTTCAAATTTTGAAACTTAAAAGTGTGTACAAATGTATTTTATGTAGTGACATCGTTTTTTGGTTTTTTTTTTCATTGAATTTCTTAGTTAAAAGTATAAAATAAATTTAGGTTTAATAACCAGACAGATTAAAACTATACACAGCATTTTTTGGTATTTTAAAATCCATCATCATTAGGTTTGTTTATGATGAGAAAAAAGTCTAGTTTTTTAACGGGATAAGAAGAGTTCAAAGCAAATATTTCTAAGCCATTGATATCCACTATCCAGTACAACTGAACAAAGACATTTTTATACAAAACCTATTCGTCCTGGCTAATGTACATTAGACGGCATTTACACTATACACCAGTAGATTGTATATAAATAGTTTTGACCCTCTTTATTTGTACTACAGTTGAACATAAATAACACAGACGCTATAAACCAGTGTCTTTCAGAAAATAAAAAAAAGTCGGTGAACTATCTGACAACCAAAGTCTTACGAAATGTATAATGTCGTTTTGGTTGTATACGAGATTGCTCGAGCAATATCTGCTGTTCATATCTCAAGAGTTATTGTGTTTACGAGTTATCACAATCGATGGACTAAATTAAGAGTTTAAGACTACTTCAGCAAAAAGTGTACATTTTGTTTATGGTCTGCAGTTGCACTTTTCATTCTAAACTGCAATTTAAAACCACATTATTAATTGAACTATTGAAGAGTATTTACAGAGGTATTTGTTTCGCATGGACACGATATGTCGATAAAGTACTATAATTCAAGGCGTTTTTAATAATACCTAATAATAAATAAATATAAAACTTGCTAATGTGCGCTTTTCAGGAATGTCTAAAAATTATAATAATAGGTATGCAACAATTACATCCTCACATGCTGCACGTAGGTAGGTACCTAACTTCAAGCTTGTACTTGATATAATTATGTTATTAAAAATAAACCTGGCTTTGAGTGGACCACGATCACATAGTTGTCGGACGATAAACATGCCTTGCGTCGAGTCAGAAAAAAATGTAATTTCATCAATTAGGTGTCTGAATTATAATACATCATACTATGCAAATCATGTAAATAAAGCAGCTACAATCATTTATAATTATTTTATGTCACGGCGGAGTGTAAACTGAGGTAATAAATAAATAACTATACGGTTAAAAACGATATTTTCAGGCGAAAAAGAGTAAATATAATCAACGTTCAACTAAGTTCATCATCTAATATAATTTTGGGTATAATAGTAAGTACGTTGTAGACAGTAGGTATAGTGCAAAATTTTAATAGACGTTTGATGAATCTTGGTGATTACACACAACAGATTAGATTAAAATCGAATGTTAGGAACTATTTTAGTTTATAAATATTATTAAGTAGGTACTTATATATATGTATAATATATATATATATATACACCATATAGTATAAATATCAGATAAAACATGCTTTGAAGTTTAAATCTGTTAAATAGATAAGCATTTCCAAATTATAAAGGTAGATCCAAATACTTGAATTCGATAAAATATTTTTGAATACATCTATAATACCTTTGAAATTGAAAACTTTGTACCTATAATTCTCTACAGACATTAAATATGACAAATACTACAACTTATTTACTTATATAATATTATGAGCCATCACGG